AGTAGGAAAAACACTTACATGTGACTAATGGGGTCCATATCATAAACATCTAAAATTTAGAACGATTCTGTTTAAATTCTTGGATCTTAAACTCAATGAGGAAATACAGAGCCATGATACTGGAAAAGAATGAAATGACTGGTATGAAGAGGAGGACAACCTAAAACCACAATGTAAAAGAAAATGCTATGAGGTTCCATTGAGCGACAACCATCTTCAATAACCAAGGGATTCACATTTATTCCATCTAAAATTATTCAGTACATTACATAACTATATTTGTCTGCTGCTTCAGATTATTTGCTTCTCTAAATTTTTTGAGGTAACGTTTCATGCAAACCTTTTTAAAAAGAACAGTCAAGTAAAAACATACTATTTTCAGCAATATTTAGAGTAGTATGATATTTCATGTTCATATTTATTTTTTTATTTTTTTGCAGCTGAAAAATTCAGTTTGCATCATTACTTCAGTGTTTGCTTCACTCCGTCACTCTCAGTTCTGCAGTGTTCCTGTAGAATAAACAAAATCTCTTCTCAGGACATGCCTGGTCATGTCAATTTGTTTATTTTCCACTGTCTGTTTGTACCTTTTTATTTAAAGAATTTAGCGTTGTCAAAAACCACATAAGACAAAATCTGTGGGCAAATGTTGCAGATGTATGGTCCAAGCTGGAGGAGATCTAAAGCACTGGACTGCCAGCAAAATGAGAACGTTGAAAGGGGGTTGCTTTATTTTTCAATCTCAAATTACGTTGCAACTTTGAGTGGAAATCAACCTTCCATTTTTTTCTCAATAGTTAGTCATCACTGGGAAAAAATGACCAGTGAAACATAATTCTGATCAAACGATTTTGAAAAGATATAGCAGGTTTTCTTATTTGAGTCATACACACAAAGCAGTGGCACAGTTCTACTAAGTCAATGCATTGGTACCCAAAATGCCATTAGTCAGCTCCTCTCTCTAATTTAGGGGTTCAAAACTCATCCATATGTGTGTCATTTGGCCAATATAGTTGTTTTATTCATTTATACATGGTTCTCCACAAGTTCACATGACACCGACGTTTAAAGTTCATTTTAACCTAAAACAATTGATTAAAGTTTAAGTGTGTAATTTCTGCATCCCTAATGGCACCAAAATGACTTGTAATCTGTTTGAGAAGCTTGACATGGATGAATTTAACATCAGGCACAACTACTGTATAAGATGGAAGTGAAAACAGAAAATAACACTCTTCACATTTGTGTTTGATAACTTTCTATACATTTTTACCTGCCCATACATTTGAAATATATGCTAAATATACAGGTGCATCTCAATGAATTAGAATGTCAATTTTATGGAAAAGTTAATTCATTTCAGTAATTCAACTCAAATTGTGAAACATGTGTATTAAATAAATTCAATGCACACAGACTGAAGTAGTTTAAGTCTTTGGTTCTTTTAATTGTGATGATTTTGGCTCACATTTAACAAAAACCCACCAATTCATTAACTCAACAAATTAAAATATGGTGACATGCCAATCAGCTAATCAACTCAAAACACCTGCAAAGGTTTCCTGAGCCTTCAAAATGGTCTCTCAGTTTGGTTTACTAGGTTAAACAGTCATGGGGAAGACTGCTGAGCTCACAGTTGTCCAGAAGACAATCATTGACACCCGTCACAAAGAGGGTAAGCCACAAACATTAATTGCCAAAGAAGCTGGCTGTTCACAGAGTGCTGTATCCAAGCATGTTAACAGAAAGTTGAGTGGAAGGAAAAAGTGTGGAAGAAAAAGATGCACAACCAACCAAGAGAACCGCAGCCTTATGAGGATTGTCAAATCGATTCAAGAATTTGAGTGAACGTCACAAGGAATGGACTGAGGCTGGGGTCAAGGCATCAAGAGCCACCACACACAGACGTGTC